GGTGAATGACAGTAAATGTGACATTTCAAAAGACCTATATCCAGTTTCTATCTAAATGTTTTGATCATGCAGTATAAGGGTTTTAAAATTCACATATTCAGGAATACAAAACAAAAAAAAAGATACATTTAGTATGTCCCGACTAAAAAATGAAACAAAAGTTTTAAAGACCAGAAGAAGAGACAATATAAAATCAGTACTGACAGGTTTGGTTTTGTCTGAATGGCAGGAAAATTGAGTGATTTATTTTTGTTTCTTTTATTTTCCAAATGTTGAAAATATCTTTATTAATACAAACTGTCTTCATTTGTCAGAGCTCAGCTGGAAGAAAAATATCATCATCAGTCAGAGGATTATGGTTGATAGAAAGATCAATATGTTAACACCATATGGAGGAGGTATAATTTTAAAAAGTAGGAAGGCATTCACAGGTAATTCACAACAGGAACAACAGCAACGCATACAAATAGCCAATGAACATATTTATTGACTTTCAGCCTCATTGGTCATTAGGAGCATCATTATTTTTCATTTTAACAATCAACAACAGGGAACGAGAAAGAGGGAAACAGAGAAATGAGACAGATGAGGGAAAGTAAATTCCCAGTATTTTCAAAGTTTCAAAATAAAAGGTACTCATACACTGTTGAAAGAATTACAAATTGACAATATTTATTAGAATTTAAAATGTATAAATCTATTTCTAGACATATTAGCACAGGATCAAACGTCATATGTATAAGTAACATTCTATGTATTTACACACACACACATATATGTTATTGACACATGTCAATGAACAGTGAAGGTATTAATCAGATTATAGTACATCTATACAATAAAATACTAAGAAGCTGTTAAAATCAACAAAACAGTTTTACATATAAAGATCTGGAAAGATTTCCAATTTAACTGAAAAACAAGAAAATGCATAATAAAATTAATAATATGGAACTTTGCTGTGTGTTTGAATAAAAAATTGTCCAAGAAGGCACCCCAATATTACCAACGGTACATTCTGAAAAGTAGGATTGTATGTGACTCTCACTTCCTGTGGTCTATATTTCGGTATTATATAAATGACATAAAACAAACTTTTACTGGTTTTGACTAAAAAAAATTTTTTAAATACAAAATAAGAGTTTCAAGATGCTCATCCCAGCAAATTCAGAATGTAGTGATGCCAATGACACTCAAATATTCATTTAAAAACTGAACTAAAGTTTTACAAATGTAAGCATAATCATTTGCTTATTAAAAAAAATCACAATGGTCACTTACAAAATGTCTCAGTAAGGGATTCACCCAAGGATGAAACTTCATATTTGTGAACAGTCTATTGCTAGTTTCTTTAAAATGTAACTGGTTTAGTGGATTAATACTCATAGGAAAGCAGATGAAAGGCAATGGAGGAGAAGGGAAGAGTGAAAAGGGACACAAACAAGGAGAGAAAAGAAATAGGAGAGAATAGGAGCAAGCAAGAGGGGTCACCACAAGGTTAAAAAGGAGGCAGTTAAAAGAGTAAACCAAGAATTTCCTGAGTCTTCCTTGCCCACTCACTACTTATAATCCCTCAGTGATTTCTGCCTTCAGAACACCTCT